GTCGACGTCGCTAACCACTATCCCCATTGAGCTAAAGCTATGTAGATTTGATTCTAGATCTGGCATTTTTCACAGATCGTTTAAATTTTAGTTATAACTTAAAAATTCTGTTCTCAAAGAAATTCTTACCTTATTATGGATGCATTATCATCCGTTGTTAGGAAGTGCTATTTTAAATAAATATGTCTCTAAAATAAAGACTCCGACTTTAGAAATCACAGGACTAGTGTAATTGCAGCCTATATGAATATCTTCATTGAACTTCATTCACCGTTTCATCGCAGATCTTGCAAAAGTAGGCTTTCTAGGTAGAAGCAACTTATGGTGATTAGACCACTTTTATTGTATACAGCCCATACTTAACCCATTAGCTTAAAACTGGGTTCACGAAAAGCAATTTTGTGCCTCTCGAATACGTTTCAATAATACGTGCAGGGAATAGTTTGAAGCTGTAGTGACTATATTTTAATGTGGTCGTACTTTTTCTTAAAGTTTAGCCAGATGAAATGATTAAAAGAAAATATTCCAATTCTTGTCCATTGGGAGCGAAATGTAGTTTAAAGAAAATAAATACTTTTTGTGCTAGATGTTACTCGTCAGACTCGCATTCATTGTGCTTTCAAACTAACCACTTGCTAAACGAACCGAGCCAAGCGCTGAAGCTGACAATGAATTTAAATCACTATTATACTCCTGCAAATATGTCATCGCCAGGTGCTTGAATAAAATACTGCTACTCTTGTTGTTGTTGTTATTCCTATTTCTTTAAGGAAATGTACAAGTTATTTTTATAAGCACGGCTCTCTCTTAAAGTGTCGATGAATTAGTTGGAAGCTACACCCGCGTATAAATTTATTCGTGTCTTAAATGTTCGGATGGAAAGAAAAGAAAAAAAGAATGAAGCTAGTGAAAGTGTTTTGATGTAGGTTGGCTTTGCGGTTTCGTCAACAGTATAATTATATTTTAACAGTTTCTTCTGTGAGAGATGTGTTGCAATTATTCTGCAGGCATTTTGAAAGATAAAATGAAATATCAGGCGGCATTATTACGTTCCAGAGGGAAATTCTGATATTAATTTTCGTCTGTAGTAATAAAATCCACCCCGTGAAAAAAAATGGTCTTGTATAACAAAATTATGTAAGACCTTCAAAATGCTGATTAGAAATGCGGCGTCAATTCTTAATTAATTAAAATAAATATACTAAAAATGTTTGAAAAAGCATATACTGAAAACGACATTGTTTAACAACGTTCCATCTCCTTCTGATGTGTTGTCTCATTTCAGCCTTTCCTGCTTCAGGCATTCTGGTGGTGCTGATTAAAAATAGTGTTATTACTGTAGACCTTCAATTATCCGAATAAATTGGGACCGGACGCTATTAGATAATAAAAAATTCGGATAATTGGATTTCTTCGGTAGAGAGAATCTCCGTACGTTTTCATTAATTAACAAACTCTGCTTTAAAGGATGAACAACCAAGCGTCTGTAAGATCTTAGCTTTTTCACAAAGCATAGGACTCAAAGCAAATTGGGTTTCCCATAGAACGTTGCTGGAAAAGAGGGGGGGAAAAAAAAACATTTGAAAACGACATCTTCTAAATTTTTGTTTGTTGCTGCATTGAGTTTCTTGAAGAATTTCTATCTTCGTTTTCAGCCCACCAGCGGCCTAGCGGTAAAGAAAAGTACTCCACGAAGGCAACCCTCCCCTTAGACAGATAGCTCTAGTATGCTTTGCCATAATTAGATAAACCAAACCAATCTTCGCTTTCAAGCAGTGACCGCGAAGTTTAAGCCTTTGCGGCACAGTGTGTCCCGTCTGGACACACCTAAAAATTTCCTTCTGTACGCACAGAAAAATTGAATGAAAAAGGATTTATAGGTTACTCTGAACTTTCTTTATTTATAGTAGATGGCAGCTCAACACAAACCAGTCCATATATTTTAGCCATGCTTATTTTTTTTTTTTTTAAGACCCTCATTTTTCAAAGAAACATTCAGGATTTTTTTAGGGTATAAAAGGAATTGCTTGAAAAGAAATTTCTATGTTATTTTTTTTTTTTTTTTTGCTGTATGCTAATCTCCTTATTCTATATTAGTTTTAAATTTTTACCTCGAAATATTGTCCAAAATCAAACGGCGAACCCTAGGTGTGCCCAGACCGGGCTCACCGATCATCTAGAACAACTGAGAGTCTGTATTATTTGTTTATCCGCATCTCATCGGTCAGTTCATTGACAACAATGCTCGTTTCCGCACTCGTTTCGAAGCTCTATTCAATATATGTATCAAAATTCCGACTTAGCGATAGAGGTAGCGTACTTAAGGTAGCGTGCCGGAAAGGGTTAAAAGTGTAGGTTTGCAGCTTTTAATGTCTGAAATCGTTGATTGTTCAACACTGGGTTTCCGTCCTCGTTTATACGTAATGGAATCTATTCAGGTATTTACAATAAACCTTTCATTGTGATACTGTAATGTTATGAATTCCGGTTTCAGTTACGTAATTGAATTATGAATTATAAAAGCATTTTGACATATCAATGATATTTCTTTTTCTGCTAGTGGACTGTTAGGTAGTCAGTGATTTCTAAGGCCAGTTTAGTTTTGTTTATGTGTTTATATTAGATCATATTTAAAATGCGAAATTTTCGGGAAATTTCATGTATGATGCCTTTGTTCGGTAAACAGACGTATACCACGGTCGAAGGTCACGCGTGTACTTTGTACACACACGCCGGGGGGGGGGTGGAAATGGAGACAGTTCTCCTGTTCTGCTGTGAAGATTAATTTGTGTTTTTCATGTCTCGAAAGCGCGACTTAGAATGTATATTAGACTTATATATAGCGTTCTTCTGACCTCGGTATTTTGATACAAAATTGGACTTTTTCTGGACATAACGATTTTTTTCCATATTTCGATTCTGCTGCTAAAATTATGCCTAAATATTAAATTTTGTAAAGTTTTATGAAAAATTTGCCGAGAGATTAATAAATGTATCTTGGCGCACTTTTTTCACTTTGCGCCGAGAATACATGACGCGGCGCACTTCCGATTTTATGGTAACCTAGTTTCCTTTCCCTTTTATTGTGCACGAGCCGAAGAAAAAGTGTATCGTTCATTTTTCACAAAGTGCGTAAACCATTTGATGTTTCTATCGCATTTAACACATATGCCAAATTTCAAAACGCGCCAATATATAAATTCACATATATCTTGGAAAATTTTGAATAAAAAAAGCACAAGTTCTTTTCCGATATGCCTAGAAATACATCTACTTTAAGGTGATAGTAAAAATTTTATAGGTTACATTACGAGAATTTTTTAAGGAAAATTAATAAAGATTACTAAAAATTACAAATTTTAAAAACAAATCAGAAAATGCCTGTGAATTTTATTTGGATTGAAACTAAATTTCGAACTCTGAAAGAAGAACTCTAGTAAGTTTAAAAAAAGAAAAGGGGGGGAAAAATAGATATTAATGAGTATTATAATAAACAAATTTTAAATCTAAATCATAAAAAAATGGTCGAATTTTATTTGGAATGAACCTAAATTTCGAAATGGGAAAGGAAGAATCAAATAAGTTTAATAAAAGAGCTATTAATAAACATATACCAAATTCAATTAACACTGAGAAGCTAAAAATGTTAGAGCTAATTTTTAAAAAACTACTAGTGTGATTTTTACAAAACGTGGCACTTTGGCATAATTTGAGTCTTAGAATCGAAATATGAAAAAAAAAAAAAAAAAAAAAAAAAAAAAAAAAGAAAGGAGGCCGATTTTGTGTCAAAATGAGAAGTGCGCTTTGTAAATGTAATACATGTTTAAGTCCGCCTTCGAGACATGAAAAACGCACGTTAAATTTAGTCAATCGGCTCAATAGAATGGGGTATATAGAACTGTTCCATTTTTCTTTTTATGTAGAGTGTACATATGCATATATATATGCTAGTATGAATTTTATAAATCAGATGAATTTATTTTTAACCGTGTAGTTTTTGAAGATAAGTGGAACTTTTCCCTAAGACGATCACTGACTATTCCATAGAATTTCGGTGTTTTATGGAACTATTATCTGTAGAGAAAATGACATTGATGATATTCGGTACTGATAATAACGTTGTCAGAATACTGAATGCAAGTGATTAATTTCATTGGTAAGAGAGGTGGGCGCAAGAAAGGTTATAGTGTAACTTTAGTCTTTAGTACTGAAACTTCCTTCTGGTCAAAAAACAAATAAACGAAAAAATTCTAAAAAATCTGAAAGTTTTCAAGTTTTATATTACGCCCAAAGGTACGTTTTTTAACGTTTTGTGTGTTACCTTTATTTATTAAATATCACGTTCTTTGCACTTAAACCATAAAATTCAAGTCAACAACAATATCGAAAAATAATTTCAAAATGAGCATACCTTTAGAACTTCCGATATACAGTCTCGCGCGCTGGAGATTTTTTTTTAATGCAGTGTTGCCATTGCTCGCTTTGAAATCATTGAGTTTATTAGTCAAAAACTCATAAATGCTTTACAAAATATGAAACAGCTGCTAAAATAAATTCCAAATTTGGGCTTCCAGTTGCCCACATTCGGAGGAGCATTACGTTTTTCAAAATTTGATGGCTCTAGGTACGTTGTTTCATCACAGTGCGAAAAATGTACATACATTTATGCAGATTCTTCATTATTTAATTCCTTTAAATATAACACAGGGCGATGATATTTGGTGGCAACAGTTTGAAAAGTGAATCAATGCAGAAAGTGAGTCGACAAAAATGCCAAAACGAAATTAATAGCCCTTCTGAGCTAACGCTTTGGGCTAAAAAAAGTCAGTTGAATTAGTTATCTGTACTTCAGATCTAAAGTCATTTCATTAAAAAACTTTAAAGTGTACATCAAATGTAAACTGTAAACGTGTTTTTATTATTTAAGTTCAATGTCAAATTTTTTATGTCATTGTATTTATTTCATTTGGTAAATTACTGATGTCCAATAAATTTTCTAGTGTCATGTCGAATATCAGAATTTTTGAATCATATGCATTGTCAAGAAAAAGCACTAGGTATTATGTTTTATTTAATCTTAATTATTGTGTATTAATTATTTTATGTTAGAAGTTAACTATTGTTGTACGTATAATTATTTTATTTCTTAAATTTCACCGGTTTTGAGGGTGTTTCATTGAGCTTCGGCACTTGTAATTTTCGGAATTAAGCACAGCTAATGTCTTAAGTGCAGAAGAAATGTTCTTTCAGTTGAGTAAATTTTATAATTTTACGTAATAGCGCAACCATCCGAGTAAAACTCGCCAAAATTGTATAATACTGCAAAATCTGGGATTACAGTTTTGTAGGCGAGTAATGTCAAATTGACGGCCAGCAAAATTGGTATTTTTATGGTAGCCGGCGTAAATTAATTAGTATTGTTATGGTGCTAATTATTGTCACAATTCAATCCGCTGAATGTTTGGATCTGTCGATTAATTTTTGTTGCGTTATGTCTGTTTGGTTAAAAGCATCGGCTAATCGGTTTTTTGCAAATATTTAAATTCTTGAGTTGGCTGGTCGATCAGCGTTAATTTACAACGGGCATAATGGCGATGAACAAGTGATTATTGTTTATATGTAAGAAGTACGGATCAAGGAAAGTAAGACTTATTTATGGAGACTTTATGCTTAATTGGTAGGTTTCGGTGTGAATGTTTCGCCTTTTGCGAACTTACATAAGTAACATAACATTTGTGGACTTGCATAAGTCGCGTGTTAATGATTCACAGATTTCTTTAACATAGTAGTCACATAAAAAGTTTGACGTAGCATTGTCACCGTAATAAATCGATCTGTGTAAGCGTTTACGTATATCTCATCGTCATTACATACATCGGTTAGTTATGAGGGAATTGCTGAAGTTCTTTGAAGGTACATGCTTTTATGTCTGCCGGCTATACAAGATAATACTTTTAAACTCATTAGTAGAGTATAGGATCGGCTATGCGTTGTGAAGTAGTATTTGTATAGCTCTTAATTGAATTGGATTACTTGATATTTGTGAGGGGAATGAGTTCATACGTAATTTAAATGTAGTGACGTTAGAAATGTATTTAGCTGAGTCTTTTAACAAATTTTGGAGCCTAATGTTAACTTTCTTTTACGGATAGGTTAGATTATGTTACCTTATAGGTATAATTCATGCTGGTACGTACCTATTAACGCTCTAGCAGCTGCGGATTCGGCAGTTTTTAAGTGCCGCCAATCTACACCTATATTTTTTGCGATAAATCATAAATTAAAACACTTTATTTAAAATCAAAGTAGTCAATCGGATTTCGGTGGAAAAATGGGCCGAATTAGTTTAATATACATTCAAAACGGTCTCTGTTTTCTTTGACCTGATGCTATCGTCATATGAATCCTGCTAAATAAGATTCTAAATGATGTCTCACTGTCCCCCTATGTCTCTTGTTTCCTCCATTTAGCACTGCCCCACATTCTCTCAATTGTTTGTGCACGAATTCCTGTATCAAGATCAATAAAATAGTATTTATGATTAACTTTAGGATGTAGGAATCCTTTTTCTATTCTATTTGTTTGGTAACCTTTCCGACTGTCAGAATAAATTTGTGCTACCGTATGCAATGTTTTCAATAATTTTATTAAGAAGGGTAGAGCCAGGTCTATTAAGAACAGTGATAACAAACGAATCTTTTGTTTCTCCACATATACCACCTAACACCCACTGTTCGGGTAATGCTCGACCACAGTTATTTTTACGCTTAGTAAACAAACTTTCATCAATTTCTACAATGCAATCTGGTCCACCTACCTTCTTGTTTGGTTTATTCGCCATATCCAAGACACATAATTCACGCATGTAATTGTTCCAATCTATAACACCGATAAATCAAGTTGCTTTTCACAAAATTTAATCGACGCCAACTCCTCGCAGCAGCAGTATATGAATCTCAAAGCTGAACAAAATGGAGTTCTGCTTCCTTCAAACCAGTTGTCTTTCTCAAGTCCCACTTGCTGATCGCACCGTCTTAAATTACATTTCCAAAACGTACGTTTACCAAAATAAGGTTTCAGATCATGCGAATTGGTACATTTTCGTATTTTTGATAAAATATTTCGCTCCTGAAAAAATAAAATTGCATCTTGTTATGTGTTTGGCAAATCCCAAAGACGCATTTTCGTAGCACTAAAAAATGGCGTCAAAAATCAGCAAACAACAAGGCAAAAAGGAATCCAAAAAGATAACTGCGTGTGAACAACAGGATCGCTCTTTATTGGCGCATCAGCGCAACTTCTGCGGCGGCGTTAATACATAAGTACCTTCATGCTATTTAGGTAGCAGATACACATGAATTCCAAAAAGTGTCTTATTAGTCATATCTTTTAATTTGTCGTTCAAGCGCCTTCAGAAACATCTCAAGAGTGTCACCATTCGATGAAGCATAAGACCTTAAATTTTATCTTGTAGCGTTATAAGGTAATTCTACCACCTTCGTAGCGTGCCTTCGTGGTTGTAGTGGTTCTGCACGCTGGGCCTGTATTCCAGAGATACGTGGTTCGATTTCCCAGCGAAGGCGATTGCTAATTTTTCAGCTCTTCGGCTTTTCCAATTAACCTAATGTCTCTACAGCGTCATTCGGTTATTTTGAAGCAGGATACGCGTCGAGTGTGTTACCATTACACCACGAAGGCATGTTGAAAGGAGGGCAAATTTAATCAGTCTGTATCTATTTAACAGTACAATCATTTGAAAACAGTAAACATACTTGAGTAAAATCGAAATCCTTTTGTTGTTGTGACTTATCTCACTTGTCCGACAGTAAAATCAGAACAAGTCCACGAAATGCATCCTGGGAAGGAGAGCAAGATTGCTCCAGTCGTTGGCAAGAGCCTTGATCACCATATAGTTGACACTACGACTTTGCCGACTTCCGCCCGCAGTTTTGATGGAGAGCACACTCCCGGGGGCGACGGATCCGAGGGATTCCACCTATCTTCCCCTACTACCAGTCTCTTGAGAGGACTTTCGGCTCGCCGCATATTTAGAGTGCCCCAAAGCCGCACAGACACTATACTATACAAACATCCATGCCTTCTCCGGCCCTTCCGTATGGCAGTGAGCGTCGCTAACCACAATCCCGTCGGTATGGCGGCATCGAAACTCTTATTTTAAAAATAGTTATCTAACAGATATAATTAAAAATACGTTTATAATCTACTGATAATTTTTATGAATATCTATGATCTTATACCTCTTACTTGGTATGCTATGGAAAGCATACCAAGTAAGAACTATATAAGTAAGAACTATAGCATTCCAATTGTTTGTGGAACTATAGCATTCCAATATGATTCGAATTCCAATTGTTTGTGGAAAAGTGAAGACTGAGACGTGGTTAGTTTTCGCAAAACCAACTGAATTAATTACTAAAAACAATAGTATAATATTGAATATTTTATTCTCTATAATATTATATATGAGCGAAAGACTTACCATATTAGTCATTTGTAAAGGAAATATATTTACATTTTGTATTTATTTTCGATAATTAATATCCTGAGATCTTCCGCTTTGCTTTGTAGGTCATTTCACTTCTCGATCTGCAGCTTTTCACGCTTATGCTGATTTCTGTTTAAACGACGCTAAAGTAATGACTAAATCTCGACCACAGCGAATGCAATGAAATGATTACTCGAGTTTAATAATAGCCGTTTCTGAATCAACCCCCGATTCTGTGTGCCTTTAAAATGCTGTCCTGAGAAATGTCGAATTTAGCATCTTCATTGCTTGCTATTGAGATCAAGAGTAAGCCGGTTTGTAATTTGCAGATTGAACTGAATATTGCCGTTCAGCATCATAATTCATCCAGGTTTGAATCGTCTAAAATACAAAGCTGAATTAGTTGGCGAATTCCCTCAGAGTAACGGTTATTTTAAAGGCGAATGGAATCATTGTGGGCGTTAATTTTCGCCAGTGTTGTTAATTGTTCTGCTATTCATTTGCGTTGGGGAAGAATAAGCGGTACAGATTATAAATGACGTCTTGTGTCGGCCCTCGACAAATTCGGTTAATGTAATCGACTGGAGGCCATTTTGCATGAGTTATCAAACTCCGTGATGATCAGAATGAGTGATTATTAATTGCTGTTTAGTGATCGCTGAATAATTTGCATTGCAGTCAGAAATTCTGGTATCGTCCATCCTCTTCTTGAATTTTATCTTTGGATGTGAAAGTGTCCCCACTCTTTACCTCTTTCGTCTAAGACTTATAACCCTGGGTTACAAATCACTTGTTAACCCGATGTTCTTCGTGCTCATTATGTTGACTGGTTGAAGCATATTTAAAATGATGAACCCCGCCCAATCGGGACAGTGGTTAGCGACTTTGACTGTCGTACCGAAGGACCCGGGTTCGAATCTCCCAGAGAAGGCATGCACGTTTGTAAATGTATAGTGTCTGTGCGGCATGCGAGCATTCTAAATAAGTCTTGAGAGGCTGGTGGTAGAGGAAGAGGGCTCCTACCCCCGAATGCTGTTCATGTTACTGTGAGACAAGTGAGATAAGTCACAACAACAGCACAATGATAAACAATGAAAAATTACTTGTAGTTAATGAACATGATTGCGGTTTGCCTCTTTCTTTACTGTTTTTCTGAATTTATGATTATTGTGTTCCATATCACAGCAATGATACAATCATGCATATTTCGTACTGGTTTGTTTACGAAATAGCATATAGTGGCTGTTGTGGTAATAGAAAACAAGTTTTTTTCCCTATCTTTATTCTGCGTAGCTTTCGAGAACGCTGAATTAGGAATTTAGTTAATTATGCAGTGTTAATAAATTGGCTAGCTAAAATGGGTTTTAGAAAGCTATGCATGGAATTCCTCTTTCACATGCAAGGCGTGAAAGAGGAAAAGAAAGAGGAAAGGCGTGAAAGAGGAAAGAGGTTTATTATTGCCAATTAAATCTGAAAGGTTTCAGATTTTAAATTACGTCCAAAGGGGCGTTTTTTTAACGTTTTGTGTGTTACCTTTATTTATTAAATATC